CACAGCCTCACAATCCACGTGTCACCACACTCACCATCACAGCCTCACAACCAATACAGCCACACTCACCATCACAGTCTCACAACACACGTGTCACCACACTCACCAACACAGCCTCACAACCCTCGTGTCACCACACTCACCATCACAGCCTCACAACCCACGTGTCACCACACTCACCATCACAGCCTCACAACCCTCGTGTCACCACACTCACCATCACAGCCTCACAACCCTCGTGTCACCACACTCACCAACACAGCCTCACAACCATTGTGTCACCACACTCACCAACACAGCCTCACAACCATCGTGTCACTACACTCACCAACACAGCCTCACAACCACGTGTCACCACACTCACCAACACAGCCTCACAACCCTCGTGTCACCACACTCACCAACACAGCCTCACAACCATTGTGTCACCACACTCACCAACACAGCCTCACAGCCAACGTGTCACCACACTCACCATCACAGCCTCACAGCTATTACATAACCGCAATCACCAGCACAGCTAATCACCAGCTCAACAACCGCCCCTGTTATTTCACAGTAGTTGCCAATACAACGCCTCCTCCATTACTTAACTATAATCAACAACTCTCCTCCCATCAATTATTAGTATTCAACCACATTCACAAACAACTGCGCCCCCATTATTTAGCCATCATCACATCTCGACTCCACCCCCCATTATTTTCACCGTAGGCCATGAAAAACTTCAGATTTACGGTCACTTGGACCGTGGCACGCCCAAATCAAATATTTTGGTGTGGAGGGGGAGGGGAGACGGGGGGGGGCGAGTGCCACTTTGTTTATCCACAGGGGAACGCCACCGATTGCTCACACATGCAGTCTTCGTGGTGTAACATTAGCGTATTACCACCGCGCATGTGACCGCGTTCTCCAGATTACAAGACGCTCAGGATTGTAAGACGTAACCCCCGAGTCGCCGGGGTCGGTATGAAACAAACTTAAGCGTAAATGTTGGGCCGTGGTATCCTGAACCGTCCATTGGGTATACTCCCCACTGCACCAGCCCGAACACTAGCAGCCAGAGTGGTGAAGTATGGTCAAACAACGAAGAGAAATACGTGAGCGGATAACACTCACACCCGCAACTTTTCAAATCAATATATGTACATTTGTAGGACTCGGTTATATGTTCCGTTCAGTTTCCGTATATTAATTTGACCTTTGAAACCGTCCAGTAAGCACATGCTTATCGTAAATAAATTAATCGGTGCTGTTTGGTGCTGCTACTGCTGCGTTGGCAGCGGTGTGCACACAACACGATCAAACACGACAACAACTGTCAACACACTCGTCAACAAACACCGCGGGGCCATATACAACACATTCCTGCGGAGGGAGCTGGTTGGAACGTTGGGTTGCTCGGTCAATGGCCAGGGTCAACAGCGGCGTGGTGTATTCCGCAAATATGCCCGACTGTGAGGGTGGGCACAAGCCGACGTGAGTAGGTTAAACGTTGAGTTTTATAAGGGCACTATGGGGTGACCAGCACCTCCCCATCCAGCCCCACCGCTCCCACCTCCTACCCAGCCCCACCCTCCCCACCCAGCCACTCCCCACCCTCCCCACCCAGCCCCACCCTCCCCACCCAGCCCCTCCCCATCCTCCCCACTCAGCCCCTCCCTCTCCTCCCCTCCCCACCCAGCCCCTCCCCACCCTCCCCACCCTCCCCACCCAGCCCCTCCCTGCACGACGGACGGGCACAATAATCCCCTGTGGGCTGGTGTAACCAGAGGTTCCTACCAGTATATATACATAAAACTGTTTGTGTTATGAAGAAGGCTAATTTCCCGAAACGTTGCCTGCTATATTATCTCTATTTATAGAGTATGATATAGTATATATCTTTCGATTTAAAGATTTCGTGACTGCAGGGATTCATCTTCTTGGTTCTTTCGGTAAAGTCACGTAGAAGGGAAGTAATAAAATAATAAAAATAAAACATATTTTATTATGTTTTATTTTTAAAAATAAAACATATTTTATTATGTTTTATTTTTATTATTTTATTACTTCCCTTCTACGTGACTTTACCGAAAGAACCAAGAAGAGTATATATCTTACTCTGTAAATAAGTATATGATATAATTGTATCCGTCTATTGCCTCTCAAGAGCAAAATTATCGAGCAGCGTGTGTTTAAACAAGTCAACTCTGGACTGGTTTCCACCTTCCGGGTCTCATCGGCAGTCAGTCTGCTGGTGACGATTGGTCTAGAAAACAAACTTGCTCATGGACTATGCGAATGTTTTAATAAATATGCGGAGGACACATAACAGCGTGGTCTGTTCATATTTTGACTATCACCCATGATGATGTTACATTCTTATAATCATCATGCTCGTTCACCCAGGAACGCTTCACTGAGTCTCGTGAGTCCCTTGCAGGAGGGTCCTGCCAAATTTGCGCAGTTGGGGGGTTGGGGAATCGATGTATCTGCCGCTGCGCGCGATCTCAAATTTGAGTAATCTGCGAGTAATTTGTCAGCGTTTGGATGTTTTGGCCAATGTAACTTGACACCGTTGTTTTAGCTCGGGGACAGAACGGGAATCCCCGGGGGAAACCCGCGTAGAACAGGGGAGAGAGCATACGAACCACGTCCCCGAGTTGGAGATCCCACATTTTAGGAAATGTTAACAATGACTCCCGCACACAATGGCACACTCGTGCGAATGACGTCGCCGGATCTTTGACATCCACCGTGAAGCGGACCGCACGTTGCAGCGTTTTCACGGCAAACACACCCGCAGGGCGTTAACCAGGGCGGCCGCTCGAGTTTGAACCGTGATGTGAACCTCTGCAACGCGTCTTTTGTCTCTGCTCCACAGCAGCGCGTTACGAGTTTGAGTATTGAACTTAGTCAGCCGTTGTTATTTATTTATGTATTACTAATATATAAATTAATATCGCTACCAGGAAACGATTGGTCAACCTTGCTGGGAATCGAACCTAAACGCTCGGCCGCTACCGACTCTGGCTCAATTTCCCGGAACAGAAACCGAGGTCCCCGTCTCCCTCCCCCCCCTCTTCCTACGCGAGAGAGAGAGAGAGCGAGAGGACGTTCTGTAATGGATAGGAAAGTTTCCAATCAGTGCGATGTGACTACTTTCTGCGTGACGTGCGGTTTCAGAGACGCGGGCAATTCAGGGGAGAGACAGAAAAGAACGCAGAACAAAAAAAACCCCGATGAGTATGCCGAGAAGACCCGTGGCATCGTTCAAACTTCGATTTAAAGCTTTCGTGACTGCACGGATTCACATTCTTGGTTCTTTCGGTAAAGCCACGTCTTTTTAATAATTTATTATTTCCCTTCTACGTGACTTCACCGAAAGAACCAAGAATATCGTTCAAACTGTTTAGAAAATCGAGTGGAGGCTTCAGGTCAGTGTTCTTCATTTGCAAGTCCCGCGAACCCCTTTGGTGGCCTTTAGTGCGGCATCTGGCGTGCGCCACCCCCCGACAATACACACATGTAGAAACCCCTCCCCCCTCCCCATCATCATCATCGTGCTGGCAAAGATGGTTTCAATTGTGTGGAGGCCCATCGCGCTCATGATGTCTTCTCGGCGAAAGCGCCACCGCCTTTGAAAATGTGCGAAGAGCCACCACTTGAGATGGGCAGGGACGACGGCCGATGGTCGAGACAAATAACGGAGTGGCAGCCAAGGTGGGGGCCCCACGGTGATGGCGAAGCTGATGATGCTGATGATGATGTCAGCTCGTGTGTATACAGTGCCGAGGTTGATTATTAGAGCGCAGGATCGCGAGATAATGAAAACAAAAGCAACGTGGCAACGTGTCCACCGGAGTGGAACGCGTTTCAGTTCGTGCCGTAGTGCGGGACCACTTTCTGTTACGTGAAACGCATGGGTTTGGCGACGCGGCTACTGCTGCTGCTGCTGCTGCGTTGGCAGTGGTGCAGAAGCACAGTTAATAAATAACACAAAAAAACACAATACCGCTGAACTCATTCGTCACTGCCTTCAAAGTAACAAGGGACATACTAGGCGACGATTTGGGCAATGGGCCTTTTTCACGACACATAGAGAGGTATCTCAACTAAACCCTACTTCTCTAGGCCCTCTGTATGTCCTATGATGAAGGGTCATTGCCCGAAACGTCGCCTGTTATATTTTATTTTTCCTTTTAAGAGAGACGAGCTTCGTTCAATATTAGATGTGTCTATGTGTGTGTGAGTGAGCGGTGGCGCAGTGGTTAGCGCGCTGCGTTACGAACACGTCCGCCCGAGTTCGATTCTCGCTCACGGACAGCACCAGGAACGATTATTTGAACCGGTTCTGGGCCTCCGCTAGGTCGACTCAGCCTCAAATGAGTTCCTGCGGCCGGGCGTGGTGTTGGCCAACCCAGCCGCGCCGCGTGCCGTACCGGCCTTCACAGCACTTGCCCCAAAAGTTCGTTCAGGCTTTATGCATACGGGGGCACCTTTGTGTGCGAGCGAGGAGCGGTGGCGCAGTGGTTAGCGCTGCACTGCGCCACGAACCGGACAAGCCCGAGGGAAGATTCCGGCTCACCACTGCCGCCGAAAATCGCTGACGAATATTCGACGAATATTCCGAAACCGGCCCTCGACTTGGGTACCGAGTTGCGGTCTGTACAAAACGTCAGCACTGGAGAAGACAAAGTCGTCCGGGACGTGGTGTTGCCCGCACCAAGCCCGCCTTGATGTAGATGCTCGCTAACAGCACGTGTCCCAACAACAGTCTAAGACTAAACAAGCGGATCTTAGTTTTGTGTGTGTGTGCAGCATGTACATATAGCTGTGGACGTATTTTTTCGTGGTAGGTCACCGCACAGAGAACGTATATCGTACGAGGTTAAAGCGATGGATTGTGGAATCGCAGGCACCGTGAAGAGGCAGTGGCAGCCCGGGGGGGGAGGGTACATCCAGCAGTGGATAAACCGCGTCTCGTGAATGACGATGAAGAACAATGAGACACCCACCTGGTCATCCTCGATGACCTTGAGCGCGTCCATGTGCGCGTGCAAGGAGATGGAGCAGCGCTTCATCACGACCATCACTGGAGCTTCCCTCGACCATCAACCATCTCCACCACCACGTCCACCAGCAGCTTCTTCCTCCACGCAGTCCAGCGGCGCCTAGACCACCAGCATCGTGGGGCAGCAGCAGTCGAAGCAGCAGCAGCAACAGGAGCAGCAGTCGCGACGGAGCGGCAGCAGTGGCTGTGTGGAGCGGAGAGGCGCAGGCCACCACCCCCCACGCAATTTCTCCGCTCCGAATTAGACCGTAGATTTGTTTCCGCTTGTTGCTTCCTGCTTCCTACTGTTGCCAACTACTCCATACTGTTGCCTGCTGCCCCCCCCTCCCCCCCACTGTCGCCAGCTACTCCCGACTGTTGCCTGTTGCTTCCTGCTGTTGCCTGCTGATCACTGGAGCTGCTGCTGCTGCTGCTTTCTCGTGGTCCTCGTTGCTACCTTTAACCCAGCGGCCGCCCTGGTTAATACGGCGGTTGTAATAAATATCCGTACAATTACAAAATTACTACCACGCAACGTCTGTTTCATTCCCAGTGGATGTGACAAGTCGTGGGTCCATTGGTGTGCCGGGCGTCGGTGACCACGCATTTGCCAAATCCGAAAACGACACCGCGAATTTAAATCCGACACACAGCGGCAGCAATCACCGCACCCGACTGGCAGATCGGCGTCCCAGGCCACGCTCATCAACCGAGACCCGTCACCGCTGGTCTCTCTAGAGTTCTCAGCCGGTCAAACTACATCATCTTAGAAGCTTCACTTCTGATACCCCTTGCATCAGTCGGAGTCACTCCCTGATTCTCACCCCCCCCCCTCACGCGCCGTCAACCACGTGGGGTTCAAGAAGGGGGGGGGGGTGAGAGGGGGAGGCGAGTGTCCAGACTCTGGAGTGTGTATGTGCACCTAGCCTGGCACAAGCGCCGCGGTGACGTCACTACCCCTTAGAGAGTGCGAAACATCGGTGACGATGATCTAAACCGGTTCTGGGCCTCGCCTAGGTCGACTCAGCCTTAAGTGAGTACCCGGTGCGGTGTGTAAACATCAGCACCGGGGAGACAAAGGCGGCCGGGCGTGGTGCTGGCCACCAATAGCCCTCGTGTGCGCACGTGCCGGCCATCATCGGTGCTACGCGCTTGCGGCACTTGCCCCAAGAGTCACGATGAAGGCTATTCGGGGGATCTTTGTAGTGTGTGTGTGTGTCGGAAGGGTGGGGGTGTGCCCAACTTCGCATCCGCATCACCTCCTCCCCCCATAACCCTCACCTCCACCCCTTGCCCCGACACTGAACAACCCAACCCTAAAACAACACACGCTTGCCGATGGCAGCACTCGCAACCTGCACCCTCCTCCACCCTCCACGTGGGAGCCCCCTCCGTCTACGGTCACTAAGAACAGGGGTGGGGAACCTCTTTTTTCTGCCAAGGGCCATTTGGATATCTATAACGTCATTCGCGGGCCATACAAAATTATCAACTTAAAAATTAGCCCGTTATTATATTTGGTCAAACGTTTAATTAACTCACCCCCTAATGCGATGGGCTGGAACTGCTTCTCTTTGGTGATGTTAGCTGGTATTGATGATGTTGCTACTCGCAACTGCTTTTCCAGGTTTGCTCCTAGATTTATTGAATTTCGAGTCCCGCCTGCGGTTGCCTTGGCAGGGCCGCCACCAAATGATTTCGCGGGGCCTCGTACGGCCCACGGGCCCCGGACGTTCCCCACCCCTGATTGAGAACAATGGTCCCAGGGTCCCCACCGTCTGCCGCATCGTCGCGGGGCAATGCACGCGCACGCCCTGGGGCCCCGTTAGATCGTGGTGGCCAAGCAGGGCCACCCCCTCACCCCACCCCCCTGCCGCGCCCGGCCTGATGCGTCAGCTTTGAATGAGTGACCGCCAGCAAGGTTCTTCATTTCTCACGGAATTTTTTATTTTTAAATCCTTTATATTAAATTTACTTGCTTGCTTAGGACCGTGCAAATCTTTCGGTCGTTTTGTAACCCACTTCCCGTGATCCAATCGAGCTGACATTTTCCACACAGACTCGTTGTGCGTGACAATTAATGTTCGTGAAGACATTTTTCCAAAATGTTACACTTTTTAGGACAAAAATATTATATTTAATTACCAATTGCTTAATGGTGCAATGCAATCATCTGACCCATAGGTGACAGCCATCTCAAGCCAGAGGACGAGAGGACTCTAGCCGCCACGCATATAAAGGATTTATAGTGAAAAACTTTGTTTTTACGGGTTATACTTGTTTCCCCATCAGCTCAAGACAGCTCCGATCTAACTACAGCCCTGGTGACCACAGTGCATATTTTAAATACAGTAAAACCTTGGATTGGGAGTAACTTGGTCTGCGAGTGTTTTGCAAGACGAGCAACATTTTTCAATAAATATTAATTTGATAAACGAGCGAGGTCTTGCAATACGAGCAGTGCGTGTATACGCTTTGTCTGCCGAGCGTCACGTGATCACAACTGATATACAAGTGCTTGATATACGAGTGCTTTGGATTATAAGCACGTTTCCGGAACGGAATTATGCTCGCAATCCAAGGTTTTACTGTGAAATAAAAACCCTCCCGTCATTATAAGGCCGATGCCGGACTCGTCCGCGTGACCAATCATTGCACTGCGCTCCCCGCATTCACCGCCCCGCCACTGCCCGGCGTAAGTGAAGTATTGGGCATGTAAGCATGGCACGAACTCCACACGGGCGTGGGGTGGTGAGGGGGCTGGGAGGCTCTCATCCAGCAGTGGATTGACATCGACATGACCCGATCTGATCTACGGGAGCCTCCCTCGAGTCTCAAGGCTCCTTTGCAGGAGGGTGCTGCGTTGGTTTGCACGTGTGCTCAATTCCCTTACGAGTACTCTGAATGTTATTCTTGCTTTACAGCGGGGAATAAAACAAAATTTAGTCTGACGTTTGAGACAAGGGCCCTTCTTCAGGGCAGACAGAACGACCCGGGTTGTGGCTGGAGATTGCAGTTGAGAACGTGGGGGCCTCTGAGAAAACCGGGGAAGGGAAACATTTTATGAATCTTTGCTCAATACGGGCGTTGCGTCATCACGAGATGAAGAATCCAGAAATGTCACGGGAACAGCGCGGCCCTCTGCTACTGTAAGAGAAGAGCCCACGGAAGAGGAGCTCACAGAGCTACCTCTGAGGTAGCCTTTAAGTGACCTCTGTTCCGAATATAACAAACGACTACAAACACAAGTAGCACCACTGTGGCCTCTAAAAGAAAACAAATGTATAAGTCGACGTTTCGGACAATGTCCCTTCTTCACTGCACAGAGAGGCCATTGGAGACAGTGGACTGATATGAGTTAAAAACTGTACTTGTTGTTTACACAATGGGGGGGGGGGGGGGGTTATAAAAAAAAAATCCTAATGACCAGATTAAAATTGGCTTATGAAGTTACACTCTTAGCAGCTGATGATTAACAAACCCTTCAATTTCAACATGTAGCACAGGGGTCACTTGATACTCATTTAAGGCTGAGTGAACCTAAGGGAGGCCCAGGACCAGTGCAACAAGTTACATTGCAGCAACAAACGAGCCGATGTAATCGCTCCATCTGTTGTCATTCGGATTTTTTTTTAGCCATACTTCACCACTACTTGCCAGTGCGGCCTCATGACCGAATTAGCCCAGGGCCATATCGGATATCGGCGCCACCGTTCACGATGGATGAGAAACTGAACTCTGGCGGGGGGGGGGGCGCCGTGCCCGTAGCGCAGCGTGCTAACCACCGCGCCACCGCTCCTCGTGCACGCGCGGTTGTGCCGCGTGCGCACGCGATGTGCGGTTTTTATTGCGATAGGAAACGGAGCGGGTTCGTGTCGACACAATCCTCCCGCTCGCCGCCACCCCGCACACAGGAAACCTGCGGTGGCGTGGTTCGTGCGGGGGGTTTAAAAGTCGCAACCCAGAAATAGAGACGTCCAATTCTCACAGCCCCCCCCCCCGCGCCCCCTTTTGCCAATCCACTGTTGGATGAAGGCCTCTATCCCTACGCTGGGATACGCCGGTCCCGTCTATGCCGGTTGATTGTATCCGTACTTCACCACGCTGGTCGCTGCCGGTTTGGTAAAGATCGGGAGGCAGACGAGGAAGTGGAGGACCCACGACCGGTTCAGATATCCGGGGTGCACTGTCAAACTTCCACCCGTAAAAGATGGGGGGGGGGGGAATAACATCAACAAGCTTTCACCAAATCGCAAGGACCAGCGTGGGGAAGTATGGTCAAACAACCCCTATGACCAGGCACGCTGTGGGAAGGCCTTTAACCGATGAGATTTACGAACAATTCAACCCGACAGGTGATGTTGCCTTCATGCGTCACACATGCTTGGAAATATTTAAAATGAATATAACCTGAAGATGCTTCGGCGAGTCTCAAGATGATCATTTTTTGGGACGTTTGCCCCGATTCCACTAACGCAAGTTTGGCGTCAACCACAGAGATCCCGGAGAAGAACCACCGCGCGTAGAGACAGGGAGACACTTCATAGCCTCCGATATTCAAGTATCCATCGCTCCACAACACTCAATCGCCCCGCTGTTAGCCGTGGTCAGGAATCGAACTCAGGTTTGTGGGTTAATAGTGTAGTGCAGAACAGTGGTTAGCAGCGCACTACACAGCACCACACAGCGCCAGTGGAGGGAGTGCGCTAAACACCGTGCCACCGCTCCCACCCATGATAACCTCATTAGTGAATTTCTCAATCGATAGTTTACGGAACGCTGCGAGACTGCCATTAAAATAGGGAGCATCGGCATAAGGCACTACCACTAGAGTACACGATATGCATATCCATAATAATGCTATATTATTGTACCCTATACTTACAATAATTCTAGGAAATATGGAACAATGAGGGAACAAACCCAGGCGAGAGATGATGTAGCGTGGCAAAATAATTCCCGGAACAGCTTTCCAGACTGTTCCGGCTGACACAAAACACCGACTACAATATAAACCTTTACGCAAGACACAGGCAGGCAGACAGACAGCACTTTCAGATGGTGGCTGCAAAGTTGAGTAAGCTTTATTCGCTTAGAAGGCATTCACATGAAATTAAACTCGTTTATATTTACTCAGCAGAGTAGGGTCAATACCCCCACTCCACCCCTTCCCCCCCACACCCCACCGCGCACCCCCATGGGGTTCGGCGTGCAATTCGCTACGAGCGAGTTCCCACGGAGGAGCGGCAGTTCATTGCCGGTGTCACTCAGCACCGCTTCCGCCAGCTTGCGGTACCAGTGTCTACGTCAAGGTCAAAGTTCGCTCCCACCCACAGTGGTTTGGCCGCGCCGCGCGCTACGAAAGCGCCGATTCCCGAGTTCGATTTCCCGCTCGCGGGCACCGTCGGTGATGGATATCTGAACCGGTCCTGGGCCTACCCCTCTAACCCCCCTTCCCCCACCTGGTGCTACGGAGTGTAGAACACCCCAGTGGTGGCCAGGAATGTGTGGTTCTGGCCAGGCCACCACCTTGTTCGCTGTGCCGGCCTCAATAAGTGCTCGTTAGCAGCGCTTGCCACGACGGCCTGCGAAAGGCTATAGGTGGAATCGTTGTCTATGTGCTTGTGCACGAAGGCATTTCTCTCTCCAGGTTTTCCCGTGCCCGTCCCTCCTCGTGCACCGTCTCCGCTCGTGCCACCGGCGCGCCGGGGTTTGGCGGGCGAGCGAGGATCTCGTTGATCTGGTGCAAGTCATCCTCGCCCGTGACACTGCTCTCCATGAAGGTGAGTAGCTTCTCCGTCGCCCACTGTCGCTCATCCCTGCACGGCGACGGAAGAGACGAGAGAGGTGAGAGAGAGAGGTAACGCTGGGGAATTGTTCGCGCTTCCATTGTATACTTTGTTTTTGAAACGGTGGTTGTTACCGGGTATGTAACGATTAACTCGACTCTGTCTGAGCGACTGAGCGCGTGAGTGCTGAGTCGGTGAGCGATCGAGTGCACGATTGTGCAAGTGAATGCATTTTGTGCGAGTGAGCGCTGAGTGCGTGGGCAAGTGAGTGAGTAAGCAAGCATCAGTCGGGACTCGCACACACGAACAATGACACAAAGATCTTCCATATAGCCTATACAGACTGTTGGAGCAAGGGCTGTTAGTGGACAGCACATATGAAGGCCAAGACGTCACATGACGTGGGCGGCCAGCATCATGACGAGCTGCGTTTGTGTTCCGAGCGTTGATGTTTACACACTGTACCAGGTACTAATTTGTGGCTGAGTTAACCTAGGGGAGGCCCAGGACCGGTTGAGATAATCACCGGTGTCGGCTGTGAACGGGAATCGAATTTGACTCGCCTGATTTGTAGCGCGGCGCGCTAACCGCTGCACTACCGCTCCCCAAACACACGCACGCCATCGCAAGCTGCTAGCGGCACGCGCGTCCTTCACCTGTCACGCTCCACCCTCTCCCGCTTCTCTCTGCGCAGGCGGAGACGCTTCTCCTGCGGCGTCTCGCTGCTCAGCCACTGGGACGCGCGCATCAGCACGCCAACCGGCAGTCTGCAGTGGGGGGGAGGGGGAGGGGAGGCCCATTCGTCATCACAGGCATGCGCGGCAAACACCGTGTACGGTTGGGGCCCCGGGTTCAAAACTGTTTCTATTCAAATCTGTTTCTATTTTACCAGATAAGGCCCACTGAGCTACACAGCTCTTTTTTTAGAAGCGGCCTGGCTATCACAAATTACAGTTCAACGTAGTGGCTTGTCATGTGGAAATGTATCGCAGCAAAATGCTCTAAACACATGTTGCTAAGCGTGGAGGGAAAAACCGGAGGACCCAGAGAAAGATCCACGCGACCACGGTGAGAGAGACACGCAAACTCCAAACATACATCCAAACAAACCCAGAGAAACCTTGAGAAAATGCGTCAGGGTCAGGATCGAACCTACAACCTCCTCTATACCAGGCAAGATAGTTAACATCTCCTCTTCTTGGTTCTTTCGGAAAAGTCACGTAGAAGGAAAATAATAAAATAATAAAAATAAAGCATTATCAAATAAGAATTATTTTATTATGTTTATTTATTTTATTATTTTATTATTTCCCTTCTACGTGACTTTACCGAAAGAACCAAGAAGATGAATCCCTGCAGTCACGAAAGCTTTAAATCGATAGTTAACGTCTCGTTACCGTGGCGCTCATTCATTTCCCAACAGATATTGTCTGGGTCGCTAGGTGGCACGTGACTTAGTAGCAGCCACGGTCATGGCGAGAGGTGTACTCTATGCGGTGTGCCCGGGTGTGGAAATATGTTCCGGGTTGCTAAACCAGCCGAAATGAAGGCCTGGGTGTCGGGAAGGACACCGCTGCCACCAATAATCAGAATTGCTCTCGGGGGCCCAATCAATCATCCCCCAACCTCCCTCGTTGTGTGTCTGTCCAACTGAGTTGGTCATCGAGGTTGTTTGAAGTTGTCTGATCGTACTTTGCCACCGTGGTCAGAGCGGGTTGATAACAAGTAAACCTGTAAAAACAAAGTTTTTCACTATAAATCCTTTATATGCGTGGCATCGGGGCGGCTAGAGTCCTCTCGTCCTCTGGCTTGAGATGGCTGCCACCTATGGGTCAGATGATTGTCTGGCAGCATTAAACAATTGGTAATTAAATATTTTAAAAAATTCCCTAAACAGTGTAAAATTTTTGAATTTTGTTTTCACGAAAATGCATTGTCACGCACAACGAGTCTGTGTGCAAAATGTCAGCTCGATTGGATCACGGGAAGTGGGTTTAAAAACGACCGAAAGATTTGCACGGTCCAAAGCAAGCAAGCGAACTTAATATAAAGGATTTAAAAAGGAGTGGTGGTGCATCGCGGACTGGTTCGGGTATCACTCAAGTAATCGTGCTGTGACGGTTCCACCTGAAGACGGAAGCTTGTGTTGCCTCCGAAACGTCGTGGTTTTTTATTTTACTTTTATTAATTTAAATTTTATTTTTTACCTACGTGACTTTACCGAAAAAACCTAAGAGTATGAATCCTTGCAGTCACGAAAGCTTCAAATCTAGAATTAAGAATGAAAGCGTTTATAGTAATGCATTATCTCTGTGCTTTAATCCGTCTCCTTTGTCCGTCCGTCTGTGCCCGCGGGCCGGCACTACAACTCTCATAAAGAAGATCCAATTATGAACAAACTTTTGTTTGTATAAAGTTGTGTTGCTATTCGGAACTTTCCCAATTATAAAACGAACGAATCGATGACAGCCTCAGCCCAACACTTAAAAGAGACACAAACCTGAGCAATCTTCAAACACGTTTTTCATTGACAGCTACCCATCCACCCTTCCGTCGGCTTCCAAACTACTACACAGTCCATGCCACACGCATGCGTTTGCCTCGATTGTACATTAAACGATGCAGGGGAAATCAACGGCGGCTATGTCATACCCCGGTCATCATCATCGTCATCATCATGCAGTACGCCCCCAAGGACAGTGACCTCTCTTGCATCGCGGGTTGGTAATCCTTCGGCATGTTGTACCCAGTTGTTATGTTTGATTCCCGCGCGTTTCGCTCGTCACCTAGCAAGACGAGCGTTTGAACGACACAACACCCTTGCACAGAGATCTTACCCCAGCACGGATCCGATGAAGGCTCCTCCCACAAAGCCCCGGGGTCCGAGGGACAGACGCATGATGCCTCCGGCGAGTGCTGCGGGCACACGAAGATGCACGCATGTACGCTCTCTCTCTCTCGTCTCTCTTTTCTCGCGACCGTTAGTTGTGCACACTCAACCTCCGCAGCGAATCCGCAGCCACGCTTGCGTGCGGTGATCGGTTACATCGCTGACGTTAGAACGAGATGTTGGCCATTTTACAATTAACTTGTTGTTTTGTATCGCGATTGCGCCAGCAGCGTCACGTGATGAGGTCTCCATTCGGATCTGTCAGTGCAACCCCTCGTGTTAGAAAGGGGCCCATGGGAAGCAGATGTCACAGAGCTACCTCTGAGATGTGACCTGGTACACATGATGGGAGGGAGCAGCACTTTCTCCACCTGGTACCTTGCCACAGTGAGGAACGTGCATCGCTCACGACACTTGATAACCCCGGTTTAATTATGGCGACTGAAACCCAGATTCGAATCTAAGTTCTCAGCGCCGCCAACGCAGCGTTCTGACCTCTGTGCACTTGGGCGCCCCCTAATATTTATTTTAGAAGGAATGTCGACCATTGGCGTCCCGTAATAAGCATCAGTCTCAACAGTAATTGCGGGGGGGGGCTCACCTCCACCCGTGATGTAATTCCCCACGGTGCCTTTTCCTCGGTAAGCGCCGAGGCCGATTCCAATGCCACTGCAACAGACGGACGGACGGATGGACGGAGCGGGAGGTGAGCGATGATGGATGGTGTTGGCTATGCACCTGGCTGCTGTGATCCACCAACACTGCTGTCGGCGAGGGTTGGTGGGTCTCCGCACAAATGTTGTAAAACTTCCTTCCTGTGCACGTGGATAAGGTGCCCATACCCTGGCTCGCCAGGAGAAGGCAGTAGAGGAAAATGTGAAATCCACCTATTTTGAGCTAAACTAAACTTCTTATTTCACCAGGTAAGGCTCACTAAGCTATACAGCTCTTTCTTTCAGAAGCGACCTGGCCACAAAAGATAGCTCAACAAAGTGGCTTGTCATCTGGAAATTTGTACAGAGCCAAATAGTCTAAACGCATGTTTCTAAATGTGGTGGGAAAAGCCGAAGGACCGGGAGAAAAATCCACACGACCAAATATACAGCAGGCGTCAGGGTCGGGATGAAACCAACGACCTCCTGTATTCCAGGCGAGGTAGTTAACATCTCGCCACCGTGGCGCCCCCTGTTCCTTCTGTATTGAATAGAGGGTTCTCTCCTCGCAAGCGTGGGGTTTCTTCAGGTGCTCCGTTTTCCTCCCATATATAACACCTTAACATACAGAGGACCGCAGAGCTTGGAAAATTGTTGGCGCCGACTCACCACGTGGCTGTTGCCTTCTCGGCGCCAAACTATTGCGGTAATCCCGTAACGCAAGCTGTGTTTCTCTACAACAGATGATCGAAACTCGACTTCGCGACATCGCGGCTCCGTGAACTCACTTGAAGATGGTCATGAAGAAGCCGACCCTCAGCGCCATGGGGACACCTGCACGGATGAACGCTTTGATTGCCACGTTGTGAACGGCGCGCTGGGGGAAGAGGCGGCACGGTGGGCGAGGCAGGCGGTGAGACGGGGGGCGAGGAAGAGTTTGAAGAAGGGTCAAATAAAAGATGCAAAACAGGGGTGACATGCGGTGAGTGTGCGGGAATGTGAGTGAGCGTGCCAGTGGGATTGTCTCAATGAGCGAGTGAGTGCGAGCACGTGATCGAATAAGCATGCCTACGTGGAGCGTGTGACAGTGCGAGTGAGCGTCTGAATGGGTGCGTGAGCGAGTGACCATGCAGTGAGCAGTGCACGAGTGGCTGCACGCGCCAGTGAGTAGGGAAGGTGCGAGCGTGGGAGCGAGTGTGAGCGTGCCAGCGAGGGAGTGAACGCACCACGGCCTCGATGCGGTGCGAGTAGACCTCGCCGTATCTGCGCTCCATGAAGCGCTCGCGCGCGAGTTGGGCCGCCGGGACGCCGCTCCCCACGAAGCCGCCGATCAGACCCACGGTGGTGCCCACCATCAGCAATCCCAGCTCCTGCGGGTACGGGTACCTGCGTCCCGCACGCGATCACCCACTTGGCTCACACGCTCACCCCATCGCTCACTCACTCACACGGTCGCTGACTCGATCAACGTTCTCACTCGCTCCAAGAGATTTCTCACCTCCCCAGATCGCTCACTTGCTTGCTCATTCGATTGTTCACTCGCTCATCCCATCGCTCACTCATTAACTCACTCAATCATCCACTTACTTGTTTATTCGATCGCTCACTCACTCATCTGATTGCTCACTCATCTATTCACCTGATCGCCCACTCATTCGATCAGTCCCTCACTCACACACTTTATTCTTTCAGCTCGTGAGGGCCCGAGAGCTGAACAGCTCTTTTCCAAGGACGACCATGGCCCAAGATTGCTGTGCTGCCATCTCCTGGCCAATTCGCGTCTCAATTCGCGTCTCAATTCGCGTCCCTTTGACCGCTGGTGCAAGGAATCAAATCGGACCCACCCTGTCCAGTGTCCCCCAACTCTGCATGGCTCGGCGTTTGGGCCCGCCACTCTGGCCCATGGAACCCGGTGCAGCTGCACGGCATGCACACTCGATGATCTGCACCACTGCCTTGGAGTGGAAGTTGGCAGCCTTCACGCGCCCCACGCTGTCAAGTGAGAAATCACGACTAATGCCACCGTCAACCCGGCGACCAAACGTCGATCAACGATCTCCCGGTGTCCAGAGGAGAAGCAACAACTGGAGCCACCACAACGGCCCTCCTCTCCAGGCAGGCCACACAACCACGCTTTCAGACAAGGCGCCGCAACAGGGTTCCTTCATACTCAACATTAAGGGACCTTTTTCCCAGGCAAAATATGAGCAACCCGGGAACATTTTTAAAGAAGCATAACATCGACGTTCTCCCCCTCTGAAAAACCCAAGTACCCATTGGCCAACAGGCCCAGTCGCTACCACTACCTTTGACTCAACAGTGAGAGCCATCGCTAGGGAGTAGCGGTGGGGGAGGGGGGGGAAATGCAAACACCGGCACTCACTGCGCATGGAAGACGTCTCGCACTCGCTCCCATCCCGTCTCCTCCTCCTCCACCGCCGGCCCCGTCTCGCCAGAGGCTCCGGTGGCACAGGGTGCGGTGCCAGGGCCCTCGGGCGATTGGGCAAACACGACGGCCGGCAGCGGCATCCGCAAGCTCCTCGCCAACCACGTTACGGTGGCACAGGAGAGCAGCGCATGCCTCTCGTCCCCTCCTCCTCCTCCTCTTCCTTTTCCTCCATCTCCTCGGTCTCCAGGTGCCACCACCCCCGTTCTTGTCTGCTGAGATGCGGCGTCCATCGTGAGGAGTGGTGGTTACTGCATAGGTGGAGTGGTGGTCACTGCGTAGGTGAATATTTATACACGTGCATTAAATTGTACATCAGCTTTGACTGCCCACCCAATGCATGCACATTCTGGTGGAGCAAGTGGACCCCACTCAGCTACGACCCTGGATGCTGTGGAATGGCTACAATGTGAAACAGCTTTGGAGCCAGTTGGTTTCTACAAATGCCTGTGTTTGTTGGAACAGACTGTTTACAATGTACTGCAAACGCAAAAGTGAAGATGTGCACGCTTGGAATCACACTGAAAGACAGGAGGATGAACAGGTGGCTCGGTGTGCCTTTTGGCGTGATCTGGTCCAACACCATGTGAGACTAGGCTCTAAGAAAAGCTGTCTCGGGTGTGGACCAATCAATTTCAAGGACAGTGCATACATTATCAGAGTTGTCTTTTTGTTTGCATTTTGACCGCAAGTGTTGTGGTTAATGCAAACATGATCCCTTGTAAAAAGGTGTCAGTTTTGTTGCCAGATAAAAGGGTAAAAACCTATTACTACAACAAATGTATTTTTTTATACGAGGTGAGAATTCAAAAGACCAGAATGGTCTAATTTGCAATAGTAACCTGGGTCAGATAGGAGCCGACATATTGACAGTTTCGATTTAAAGCTTTCGTGACTGCAGGGATTCATATTCTTGGATCTTTCGGTAAAGTCACGTAGAAAGGAACTAATTAAATAATAAAAATAAAACATAATAAAATTCTCACGACGTTTCGGCCACAACACAAAGCAGCCGTCCTCAGGTGAAGAACAGAACTGTCGGAAAGACAGCGTCCTAATGAAACACTGCTAAGCTTGGCAGCGTATTTTAAGCTGGGTGGGAGGAGCAGAGCGCCTTGACAAAGGAGTTTACATATCAACAGAGGAATTTAGCATATTGACGCTGAAGAACTGCTTCTATCCTACTACCATACAATAAACCGAAGTGAAAAAACTACGTATAAACTACATCAACATAATCAATGTACTCAATATACTCTCCAATAAGCTGAGCTATTAACATTAAGTCACTGGGTATACACTACACTATATAATGACTATCATATAGTGAACCGATAAGAAACTAAAATAGAAACTACATCAATATAATCAATAGCTCAGCTTATTGGAGAGTATATTGAGTACATTGATTATATTGATGTAGTTTATACCTAGTTTTTTCACATCGGTTTATTGTATGGCAGTAGGGTAGAAGCAGTTCTTTAGCGTCAATATGCTAAATTCCTCTGTTGATATGTAAACTCCTTTGTCAAGGTGCTCTGCTCCTCCCACCCAGCTTAAAATACGCTGCCAAGCTTAGCAGTGTTCATTGGGACGCTGTCTTTCCGACAGCTCTGTTCTTCACCTGAGGACGGCTGCTTGTGTTGTGGCCGAAACGTCGTGAGAATTTTATGTTTTATTTTAATTATTTTATTAGTTCCCTTCTACGTGACTTTACCGAAAGATCCAAGAATATATTGACAGTTCATAAAAATATCAAACAAAAACTCATCACGTTCATCATTGCCTCCAAGTGTGGCTATTAAAAATAAATATATAAAATAGGTGACGTTTCGGGCAATACCCCTTTTTCATTGCACATATATGGAGAGGCCAGAGAGATAGAGTGAGAAGGCCGGCACACCAAAAATCTGAATTCCATCTGTCCCATCTGTATGGGATAGTGTTTCCCCATCACACGTCTGGGTTTTCTCCAGGTACTTTGGTTTCCTTCCACATGTAAACACAAATTCATTGGGCTGAGAGCACCTTCATATATAGAGGACTGCAGAGCTTGGGAAATTGTTGGTAGCGCCGGCTCACACCTTTCCCGCTCGTCTGTGGCTCCTCCTTGAGCCTCCGAGTCGTTCTCTCTCTTTGAGAGCGAACGAATACCGTGCAGAGGTGCCGTGTTACGAGTTGAAATTATGATCACGGGAGGGGAGGGGATGAAAGGTGGAGGATCATTACCTGCCTATAGGTCTGGCGGTGACATGGCCAGGCGAGTTGGTGGGTGAAGGTTGTCACCCGAGTCGAGTTGACGTCCACCTCTTAACGCACACAGGTGGAACGGAGGGTCACGCAATCCTGCATCATGACCAGAAGTTTCAGACACGCGTGTTAAACACTCAACAACACAACAACACAAAACAACAAATGAGCAGCTGTTACATGTGGAGTGTTTAACCATACTTCACCACGCGGATCAGTGTGGGTTAAAGGTAGGTAGCATTGATGGCGGAAGTACAATACAATTGATTTTTGTCAACTGTTATATTGTTAGTAAATAAATTCAGGTTGTTTGCACACAGAGGAGGCGAGAGGTTTCCCAGCACCGGTTCAGATCTCACTGTCAGCCGTGGTGGGTGTGGAATCGAACTAAGGTTGCTGGATTCACAGCGCGGTGAGCTGATCGCTACACCACCGCTCCACCCGCCCACCCTCCCACTTCATTTAATTTCCAGAGCCGGTCATTGTGTGCCAGATTCGAATATTACTTTCAAATTACTCAATTTGGACTCTGCACAGCAATCATCGCCTCCTACTGGCAGACTCTTGCAAATGAGACTCATCCTATTCTCATTGAGTTGTCTCCTGGCTAAACAAAATAAACTCTAAACTGGAGTACAGTACCATTTGTGGTAAACCACCTCGTTTTGCAAAAAACACAAACATACCCTCTGCTGCAAGATACCAACAGCTGCACTGCACTTGCGTAAGGATTTTTTAAAATTATTATTTCATTTGTTTACCCAGGAAAGCCTCACTGAGTCTCATGGTTGTTTTTTTCAAGAGAGTCCTGCCAAGTTGTATTGCAGTTTGGGGAGCAATGTTGCTGTCATCCAAATTTAGTCACTTTGAAGGTAACATTTTCCACATTCAGATGTTTTGGCCAATATTAGTTACAGTATGTTATGTTTAAATAAAGCTATGTCAGGAAAACGGAGAATTCGGAGGAAACCCATGCTGAACAGGGGACAGAACATACAAATCCCATGCCCTCAGCTGAACAGGGGTGGGGAAAAACTGCTGAAAAAAACTAGACTACATATTTTTTCTACCAGGTAAAGCCCACTTAGCTATATAGCTCTTTTTCAGTATTGACCTGGTCACAAATGATAGCTCAACGAAGTGGCTTATCATGTGGAAATGTCTAGCAGCCAAATACTCTAAACGCATATCAACAAATAGAAAAACCCGGAGAAAAATCCATCCGACCACGTGGAGAGAGACATGCAAACTCCAAATATACAGCAGGTGTCAGGTTTGGGATCGAACCCACGACCTCCTGTATACCAAGCGAGGTTGTTAACATCTTGCCGAGTCAGAAATGGAACCCGGGTCTCTGGTCGTCAGCCACGAGTGTTACCCAAGTCCAGTCCGTTGAAGCAACCGGTTGCATCAGCAGAGGGAGCCATGCCCGATTGCATGAAACCTGAACTTCTGCGGCTCTGGTGGAGCGGTGGCGCAGTGATTAGCACACTGGGCTTGGAGCCCAGACTACCTGCGTTCGATTACAAGCCACGATTAACATTGGTGGACAGTAACAGCAGAGCCTCACCATTCTGGCGAATTGCCCGATGATGCTGGATGCAATTACCAGCGAAACGTCGTACTACTCAAAAATGGTAAATGTTGTGGTTTCACACTTCAACACACCGGTGGGCTAAAGCAGTGAACTATTTGTCTTTTGTCAACGTGACACTTTTTTTGCTGATTGGCCGTGTCGGGGGGTGGAGGGTTACGACACATTTATAAATAACGCGATCTACCCCAAAAACGTTGATTATTAATAATATTGGTCGCGAAAGCCTCCCCACGTGTTCAACTGAGTAACACCTGAACCGGTCCAGGGTCTTCCCCCACATCCACCTCGTCCCCTAACCTTCACCAACCCACACTGACCAGCATGGCGAAGTATGGTCAACACAACCCCCCCATGTGGATTGACAACGGCTGTCATTGTAGTGGTGTGGAACGGGGTAGAACGCTGGCACTTTGCAATTTAGAGGTCGCCAGCGATACCAAACGAATGGGGAAAACACCGAATGTGTCGATCGGCAGGGCGCGCGTGTTGGGGTCCAACGTGAGTAGCTCCATACCTCCTTCAGCGACGTCGTGTGCTGAATGAGCCTTGTGCCGGTAGAGCTCCTTCTGACAGCACAGGGGCGAGTGAGAAATTGCACAGCTTCACCTTTACCCTGCTGCTTCAGACCACAGCCGAGACATGTGGAGGAGGAGGAGGGGGTCGCCTTTGGTGGGTGCCTGGCTGGACGAGCTCGTCAGCTCGCTCGGCACACCGCCGAGGTCGATGACATTAAAAAATGTTTAAATGCCAATCGAAGCGGAGTCGTGAGCTGGGGGGGGGTTTGTCAACGCGATCGGGGGGGTGGAGGGGGTCGCGAAGCCCCGGGGGTTCGAGTGCAGAGGACACGGGACACGCGCGGCGGCTCCCACCTCCACGTGGGGTGAGGCCACGCGGCCGCCACCTTACTAAGGGTGCGTGCGTGTGTCTGTGTTTGTGTATGTGTCTGTGTGTGCGTGCGTGTGTTTGTGCGTGTGTCTGTGTGTGTGCGTCTGTTGCGTGTGCGTCTGTTGCGTGTGTGCGTGTCTGTGTGTGTGCGTGTTTCTGTGTGTCTGTGTGTGCATGTGTCTGTGTGCGTGTGTCTGTGTGTGTGTGTGTGTGTGTCTGTGTGTGCGTGTGTCTGTCTGTGCGTGTGTCTCTGTGTGTGCGTGTCTCTGTGTGTCTGTGTGTGCGTGTCTGTGTCTGTGTCTCTGTGTGTCTGTGTGTGAGTCTCTCTGTGTCTGTGTCTCTGTGTGTCTGTGTGTGCGTGTCTGTGTCTCTGTGCATGCCTGTGCCTGTGTGTGTCTCTGTGTGTATGTGCGTGTGGGGAGCGGTGGTGTAGCGGTTAGCGCTACGCTGCACTACGAACCTGGCGACACGGGTTCAGGTTCCCGCTCACGGCCAACACTGGTGACGATTATTTGAACCGGTCCTGGGCCTCCCCCTAGGTCGACTCAGCCTCAAATGAGTACCTGGTGCGATGTGTAAACATCACCACTGGGGAGACAAAGGCGGCCGGGCGTGGTTGTTGCCCACCCTCTGGAGCTAAGGGCACTTGCCCCTACAGCCTTGTGAAGGCTTTCACAGGGGATCGTTGTCCAGGGAAATTGAGTTTTCAGGTCGGCGTTCAGCCGTTTCAATACGGGCACAATGTTTTTTCTAACACTTTCTCTCTATTTGTTTGTGTTTCTCCCTCGTGATGGAACTTTGTGGGATGAACGTTGCGATTTATAAGGGCACGGGGTGACCAATACGGTCTGAATTGGTCTGTAAATAAGGAGTTGACACCTGTGGTTATATTTGGACGAACACATTTTGTTGGGTATATATTTGACGTTCCTTCAGTTACCCTAAGTCCACGCTGCTTGGCATCGCAAACAAAGGCTATTTCATATCCCCGACGGCGACTTTTGAGCTACTCCTGTATTCGTGAGTTGTCTAAATGTTGCTGATGTAGGCCGTGGTGACCCCGATGAGATTGTGGTTGTGGTGTTCAAGTCTCGCTTATTTTGTATTTATCTATGTGGGGAGACAAACGGGTTAATGAGACGTCACCTGTTAAATTGACCGCACCTACCGTCCAGGGGTTGGTTGGTCCAATGTCTTGTGTGCAGATTCATTTCTGGTTTAAATGAACCTTGTGAAATGGGGGTCGCGTGCGTCTGTGTTATTTTTCTGCTCTACATTTCCACATAAACCACTTTGTTGACCTATCATTTCTGGCCAGGACGCTCCTGAAAAAGAAGCTAATAGCTCAGTGATCTTTACCTGGTAAGATACAAATCTATTAAGTGTCGTTTTATTTGCAAAATTGTTTTTAAAAGTGATTTCTTTACACTTTCCTATACTTTGCATTCCCATCGTGTGTTTTTTTGTATTTGCTGTAACGTTCTATGCTCGCCCCCCCTCTCTCCCTTTACTGGACACCTGTGAAAATAAAAGAGCTTCATAGCTCATCGGATTCACCCTCTTCGGGTGAGTAAATCGACTCTCTGTTGTATCACATTACATTTCTAAGTATACTAGATTTGTGTTTCTATTTAATTTATACCTGATGATTGCTTGTGTTGCAATCGAAACGTCGTAGTATGCAATTATTTAATTTATTATTTTATCTTTATACGTCACTTTACCGAAAGAACCAAAGAATAATTCCTGCAGTCACGAAAGCTCCAAATTAAGTTTAAATCAAAGCGAACAACTCCCGGCTTGTCGGTGCAAGTGACACGTGCTCCCCCACGCAACGTGGCCGCGTCGCGCGCGCGCGCACATCCGGTCGCGCGGCGATGACGTCACCGCCACGAAGCCCCGCCCACTCCTGCCCGGAAGCCCCGCCCCCTGCCCGGCAGCGAGGCGGAGGCGGCGGGGAAGGCCGCAAAGAAGGCCGCGGGATAGTTCGCGTCGCTCCCTTCTCTCGATCTCCCGCCCGCCCGCGGCTTCCCCCTCCGTCGTCGTGTGTCGTCAGCCCCCTGTGCTCGTCGCCCGGCTTCCGTCCCCCAACACGCCCCAGGCGTGAAGGTTTGGGCTGAGCCATGAGCGACAAATACACGCGCGCCGTGCTTCGGGTCGTGGTGGCTCAGGTGAGATGGTGATGGTGGTGGTGTTGTTGTTGTTGGAGTTTCACTCCGCTTGTGGTGGTGGATGATGGTGATGTGGTTGTTGTTGTTGTTCTCGCTGCCGTTGCTTGCTTTGGTGGAGTTTACGACGAGTTGGGGACTGGTGGATGTGCCCGTTGCAGAGTTGTGGATGCGGTGAGCGCCGGGCGGCTAATGTTATGGTGGGGGAGCACAGTGTTTGTTTTATGCATTTGTCAGTTCAGTAAGTCAACCGATGGCACCTGGGTCTGTCCCGTGACCTGCCTCGACGCTTCACGTGGCCTCAAAGTGCACCTAGCTTGGCACGGCACCCGCCGCTTAGTGGCGAACGCCGGTGGGTGCATGTGTGCTGGTTCCGGTGCTGTGTGTTGACCTACACTTCAGTAGCAACATCATCATCAATAGCAGCTAACATCATCACACGCCTCGCCAAAGAGAAGCAGTTCCAGCCCATCACATTAGGGGCGAGTTGATTAAATGTTTGACCAAATATAACGGGCAAATTTTTAAGTTGATAATTTTGTATGGCCCGCGAATGGTGTTATAGATATCCAAATGGCCCTTGGCAGAAAAAAGGTTCCCCACCCCTGACCTCCAGTATGAGAGGGAAAGTGGCATTCGGATTGTGTGTGTGTGCATGTCAGTGGACTCTGGATATTGTAGGTGTGTATAGTTGGGTACAAGTGGTAGGTGTGTGTGTCTGCATGCTGCAGAGTGAGTGTGTGTGGGCATGTCCGTGGACTCTGGATATTGTAGGTGTGTATAGTTGGGTACAAGTGGTATGTGTGTGTGTGCATGCTGCAGAGTGAGTGTGTGTGTGCATGTCAGTGGACTCTGGATATTGTAGGTGTGTATAGTTGGGTACAAGTGGTAGGTGTGTGTGTGTGCATGCTGCAGAGTGAGTGTGTGTGCATGTCAGTGGACTCTGTATATTGTAGGTGTGTATAATTGGGTACAAGGGGTAGGTGTGTGTGCATGTCAGTGGACTCTGGATATTGTAGGTGTGTATAGTTGGGTACAAGTGGTAGGTGTGTGTGTGTGCATGCTGCAGAGTGAGTGAGTGTGCATGCATGTTGTGCGGGTTAGGGCTGGTACATGCGTCTGCAAGGCACATCAGATGTGTTGTCTGTGACCATGCAATACAATTTACCTTCATGTCGCGTCTAAATGCAAATGCTTAACAGGGAGGAAAAATATAACACCGTATCCGTATGCACATGAAAGCAAATGGGTATTGAGTCTTGACTTAAACAAGGGCAGGAGAGTCAACAGCACGGAGTTTATTTTTCAAGAGGAAGGGAGTTCTAGACAGGGGAGCAGCAGCCGAGAAGGAGTGAAGGTTGTGGGCTTTCTAAGACGGAGGAGGCCTTTATTGCTGGGGCGGAGACAACGTGCCTGAAGAGGTGAGTGAGATGAGCGGGAAGAGGTAGAAGGCAAGATTAAAAGTCCATAAATACTTTTAAAGACAGCCACTTACAACCTTTAAGTGAATCCGAGACGTTTACAGGAAGCCAGTGGAGGGATTGGTAATCGTGCTCGAGTGACGTGATCATCCGTACGGATCGGGCAGCCCCTTGCAGCGGCGATCTAGAAATGAGGGAATTTGTGAGACCGCAGAGGAGCGAGTTGCAGTAAAAGTCCATGCGAGAGAGGTTATGGAGCCGTGGATTTGTGCCTCGGCAGCCGGCGGAGGTAGGGAGAGAGGCCTGCCTCACAGACCCGGGAGAATGTGGTGGGTGAATGGGAGTTCAGCATCTAAAGTAACCCCGAGGTTGAACACCTCTTTTATTTGTCCAACGTGAGAGATGCACACTTGACTTGGAGACTTAATTTAGAACTGACTTTGTTTTACCCTATTTGAATGAGCTTAGTTTTGGCAGTATTTAAATGAAGAAAGTTAGAGTCAGTCCAGTATGAAATTGCATCAAGGCAGGCTTCAAGATTGGACATTGCGGATTGTCCAGTGGCTTGCAGATGTGCGTGAAAATACAGTGTGCGCATGTGTACGGTTCAGGGATAGTGCGCGTATGTGTAACTTGTTGAGGACACGTGACTGGCAGATGTGCTGTGTGTGACATAATGCATTGTGAGTGTGTGTGCATGTGTGCGAGTCAGGGATTAGTGTGTGGGTTTGTTGTATGTGTATAGTTGGGAACCAATGGCTTGCACATGTGTTGTGTGTGACTGCAGTGTATGTGTGCATTGTAGGGTTAGGGATATAGTGTGTTTGTATGTATATGTACGCCACCTGCCACTCATCTGTCATCCCATAATACCTGAATCTGTTCCGTGACTTCGATACGTCACGTGCTTTTGGCCTCAAAGTGCACCTAGCCTGGCACGAACATTGGCGTTTGTGGGTTGATATTTGTGGGAGGTTTATACACATGTGCACCATACACGCGTGTAAAGGTGTGCGTGTCCTTGCCACTACTCGCGGTAGGGCTGTGTGAAAATGAGAGAGGGTGCATGTGAAAGTCTATTCTATTCTTGCATATGGCAAGCCTATGTTCAGGAGCTAAATGGCAGGTCTTCTCGCCATGAGAGGGCTTCAGGAAAGCGTGTGTGTCGTTTTGCTATTCCTCTGTTGAAGGAGTGTAGACTAGCAGTTTACTTTATGCACCTTAGTTTGGATTGCATAGAAACAGTTCTTCGTGGGTTGTCTTCAATTTTATGTTTATAAAGGACATGTGCTCATTGGCCGATTGATGTTCTGATGCGGTTGATGGTTACACCCGTGTCTTTGAGCAGTACTGTAATGTCAAAGCCAGGAGGTGTTCATTCTGGACGTCCACTTTGTGCTGTTGTGCTCGCCAAACATTCTTCCAGATCTGCGTCAGATTCTAGGATCCCAGACTGGGGATTGATACTAGAGTCGGCGGCGAGGTAAATTGTTGAGTTTACATATGAATATTTGGTGCCAAAACATTTGCCAGACTAGGGAGCTAGGGGATTGGTGTCGGTTTCAGTGTTCCAGTTATGATGCGCGTGGCATTAATGAATTGTGCATATCGTAGATTTGTGTACAAGCTCCTGGATCAGGCTGGACCGCAGTAACTCTGCCACTGAGTAGATCAGTGATAAGATGGCAGTTCGCAGCAGATTAGCTGATGCACCCCAGGGTCTTGCAGTTTTCTTGTCGCAGGATGATTCTTGATTTCGTCTTTTCACTGCCCCATGACCTGGGTGATGTGATCGTGAGAGTGAATGTGACGATGGTGACTGTGATGGACCCCGTGAAGAGTGAGTGCCCGTGGCTGTGGTGCAGGTTTGTCAGGGCCTGGGCTGGGACGCCGTTCAGGTCTGCGCTTCGGAGGTGCTCACCGACGTCCTGCAGCGGTACCTGGAGCAGCTGGCGCGATGCTGCCACCGCTACAGCGAGCTCTGTGAGGGCGCCGCACACTCAACGACAGCACGCACGCTCACCACCGCCACGTGCTCACCACTGCGCACGTCACATTCGCTCATCACACACTAGGGGAACTGCACAACAGGGATATCCTATAGCAGGCCACGCCGAGGGGCACTGGGCATACCAGGGGACACCACACGCATCCGGAGCACCACACACATGGACGGGGTATCGAATGAGAAGCGTACACCAGGGAATCGCACACATTGGAGACACCACGTGCACCGGGGAACATCCACACATGGGGCACCGCAGAGGCTGGCTGTGACGTTGCACTCCTGTAAGCCAATGATGTGGAGGCAGCGAGGGTTGGTGGATCAGCGCACAAATGTTGTGAAACTCCCTTCTGAGGTGCCATACCCTGGCTCGCCAGGAGAAGGCAGTTAAGCAAAAATGTGGACTCCACCTGTTGTACGTATGTTGAACTTCTTTCACACTGTACGTCGCCAGATGCTCCGATTCCCTCCCACATGCCAGCACTTATTAATTGCCTGATAACACCTTAATATATCGAGGAGTGCAGAGCTTGGGCAATTGTTGGCATTGCCGGCTCATCACGTGGCTGGCTGCAGTTTTACCGCTCTTCTATGGTTTCTGGTGCCTGTGAGTTTGTTCTCCCTCTTCGACAGTGAGCGAATATTGTGCTGCACATTACAAGATGAGATTATTACGAGTGTCTTGGCACTCGGCGGTGTCAACTGAACCGCTCATCGCGCGACCCCGTGTCTCGTCCGTGATGTGCGGTCGTACCCTAAACACACTCGTGCCGCGTTCGCTCATTACACTCCTGAGTCGGTTCGCTGGCACTGGTGAGTCGTGACACTGGCGCTTATCAGACATCACAGCTGCACTAATCGGACAACACATCTGCACACTCGTCACATCCACGCGTCACATTTACACGCATTATTACGTTCACTCACTTATGCATTCACTCTAATCGCATCCGCTCATCAAAATACAGAGATTCGTGAAGCAAGTGGTACTAGCGAGCACCTTTTAAGTCTGGTCAGCACAATACCCGTATCTCACTGGTGATGATGTTTTACATAAATACCAGGTATTCATATAACGCAATTGTCCCCATGGTGACTTGTCATGTAGGATGTTAATGATGACGTTAATGATGTTTGTGTGTATTTCATAGATGATGACGTTGACGTCGTAGTACACACTCGCATTTATATACACTCACACTTATATTCACGTACCGCCCTCGTCCCATACACCTGCAATTGCATACACATCCATTACTCACTCGCAGCCGCACTCATGTATACCTTGCCTAACAATATTACATCTCTATACATAACACGCAAACACTTTACTGCATAATCAGTCGAGAGTACATCAGAGACCCACAACACACACACATGCATGTACAGCCCCTTTTTTTCATCAAATCCACTGCTGGACGAGGAGCTCCCCCACAACATGTGAGTTGTGGGGCGTTAATTGCCCATACTTCACCACGCTGCACAGTGCGGGTCGGTGAAGGCGATGAGCAAAGATGTTGGAGCACAGTGTGCAGGAACAACGATGAATTCAGCCCAATATGGATGTACACGCCCCCGGCCACAGGAATGTGGAATCGTAGTCTTCCACCACCGACTCTGGGCTGTACACCCGTTATGCCATTCATTGCCCAAGACGTCGCCCACCGTATGTTATTTTCTTTTAAGGCCACAGCACTCGTTGACAAAATGTGTTGAACGCGAGAATAAATCGCTTGCACTCGTGGCCAAGTGTCTGGGCAGATGGGGCTATTAGCTATTAGCATCAAATGCCTTGCAAAATTTGTACAACGTTAGTACAAAAAAAGTTCGCAATTAAACACGTGTTGTGTGTGTGTGTCTGCGTTAGCGGTTGTCACCACAATGGGCCTGCCTATTGCGAGGGGCGGGGCCATGGGGGGAGGAGGAGTGGGGGGGGGGAAGAGCTCTACGTCCCCGCCCCTCAGTTTACATTTCCTATCCCGCACGCGCGACTCGCTCCCTAACAAGCCTCGTCATTGGCTCGAGGCCGCCACGCCTCCGGTGCCGCGGCCAATGGGGAGGTCGGGCTCGTGCGGCGGCGCCTGTGCGCGCTGGGGAATGCAATGGCAGCGCGGCCGTGCCGAGATGGCATTGTCCTGTGCGGGGAAGACGCGGAGATGGCGACCGGTGCTCCTGGGTTCGAGTCCGGGAACCCTGGGGGGCTCGCACCCCCTCGCTGGGTGCTGAGGGGGTCCCTGTAGGTGAGGGGGGATGGTGGGAGGGGGTGGGGTTTGTGTGGGGGGTTTGGATTGGGGGGGGGTGGTTTTTGGTGGTGGGGGTGGGGGGATTTTCAGACGTAAACACGATGTGTTTGCTGCGCGTGGAATATTGTTATTGACACTTCGTATGATAATTGTTCACCTTCGATGGGGTTGTGAACATAGGCATGCGACGTAATGAGCGTCGTCGTCATCCTCGTGATAAACATAAGCGACATCACCCTCGCCGTAATTACCAAATCTATTAACATAATCGGCTCCGTCATGGACATCGTCGTCGTTTATAATGTCACTTAACGTAATCGACATTGTAGTGGGGAAATCGTGACCAACCACAACGTCACAACATCGCAATTAACATCGTTGACATCACCCATCATCGTGGTGTCATAATGCATAGCCTCATTAACATAATGAGCAAAATCGTCATTAAGGTCAGTGTAATTAACAGCATCATTAACATCATCTTTCAATAACGTCATTAACATCGGAACGATAGACAGCAGCTTTATGCATAACACTATTAATATTAACATAATTAATATGATGTATTATTGCCATGCACATGATAAGCATCATCAACTGCGATCATCTATAGCATCACCATTAACATGATTATCACCTCCAACATCGTTGTCGTCTTCAACAGCAACAGCATCGTTATCACCACCAGCTGCACCATTATCATCAAGACACGTGTTGGCGTGCTAGCGGGTAACGTCACGAAGATTATTACCATCATTACATAATTAACATCAACATCGCAAACGTCTTCATTATCAACAGGATCCTTATTGTATACAATGTCAACATCGTTAGGATCATCTACAACGTTGTTAATGTGTTCAAAATCGTGACCAACATCATCAACAAGACACGTGTTGGTGTCAGCACGTGGAATATCATTCATTACTTCATTACCATGTCATAATCTGTAAGACCAACCAAAGACCCACATGCAGAAACATCATTACCACATAGTAGTAGTAGGTGTTTACCCTTTTAACTGGTCCAAAACTGACACCTTTATACAAGGGATCATGTTTGCAATAACCACAACACAAGCAGTCAAAATGCAAACAAATCATTACCAGATGTTTTTTTTATCATTGCATAAACAAGACACGCATGAGCGCGGAGGACGTTGCTTATGTCACTAATGTCATCGATCACATCAACCCGTGCATCAAAATAAAGGGACCGATCCGAGAGTACGTCCACTGCAGAGATGGAGCAATGAAATCATGCCTTGAGCAGGTGCTGCTCGGTGAATCACACCGCAGGGTCGTGAGAGGTGGCGCCTGCTTGGGGGGGAGTCCTTCAGCAGTGGATTGACCGTGGCTAACGATGATACGTCAACATCGGCGTCACCCTAACATCACAAATGATATTTTTAAATCCAAATTGTGCGATTGCATCATTGTCAGGCGATTACAACGTGCGGGTTTGAGAGCAATTTGCTTGCGCAACTAGCTGCTCAGATGTGGGCAAAGCAGTTGCAGTTAATTCAGGTTGTGCGATTTCAAGAGCGATTTCAACCCTCAGGTGTGTGGGGACGTGGCTTGACATGTCCAAGTGGCAAGTTTATTTTCTTTAACCAGATGAGAACTCAAGTGACCAGGATTGAGGTCTCATTTGCAAAAGTGACCTGGGTGAACAAAATGGCAAAGGCAAAAACAAAGTTCAGTAATGGAGCAAATAGAAAGAGCGGTAAAAACAACTCTCACGTGAGATATTAAAAATATTGCGCCAAACATTAATCATTGGGAAGCATTCAATTGCACGTAGCCCGAGTCGGCTCAGACAGATACTTTTTTGACAAATAGTACAATTACAAAGTTAAGTTACAGAAACATGTGTATCGGACATCTTTTGTACTAATATGTTAACACAAGGATAAACTGCAAAACAGGCTTTCACTGCAAGGACATACCTGTGTTGCAGTTGATACCTAAGCCTAGGACTAAATATCTCCTAGTTTTAGACAAGGATAAAACATGACAAGCGCAAATACAATTTATTTTATTTCTAACTACGTGACTTTACCGAAAGAACCAAAGAGTATTTATACCTGCAGTCACGAAAGCTTCAAATCAAGATTGCAAATACAATTGTCAAATACAATTGCAGTGTATGAGGAACTCTGCCACTCTGTGTGTGTGGTTCCGCGGACAGACGGGCGCACGGACCCAGATCTCGAGGACGTGGGGCAGGCGTTCGGCCTCATGGGAGTGAGCCTGCACGAGCTGGAGGACTTTGTGCACAACCTGGAGCCCGTGGCGTTCGCACACACGCTGCCTGCCTTCCCGGCCGTCAAGGCCAACACGCTCGGCTTTCCGACGGCGGCGGCGGTGGCGGCCGCAAGCGCCCGTGACGCCGCCTCGCGCCGCGACTACATCCCCGACCACCTGCCGCCGCTCGTGTCCGCGCAGGAAGGTGAGTTTGCTGCAACCCCCTGCCCAGGATTTGTCCCAGCTCGCTTTCACCGCTTTTCCACTGGCATGGTTGAGCCAATCCAGTGTGGGACAGACTGACGGAATGCATTTTTTTGTTTCAACTGCCTATTTTATGAGCCCAGCCAGAACCAAACTTTGATAATGCTGAGACATCTGAATCAGGCTGCGGGGCCAAGGATGGCCAGGGCTAATGGTGTATGCAACTGATGTCATCATAGCTAAAAAAAAGATAACCTAAACAGGTGTGTGTGACAGTGAGCGAGTGTGCATAGCTGTCTGTGTGTGTACCGTCGCGGCATCTGTGTGTTTCTTGAGGTCACACATTGCGCGTGACATCAGCTGGATGGCTCGGCTTCTGCATTGGAAATCCAACCACGTCCATGCCAGGGTGGCTCAGCACGGCCCCAACATGGTCCAGATGTGCGGGTGGAAAAGTGGTATTTGAGTAGTCACCGCCATTTCAATCAGTCACAGCGGAGCCACTCTATATCCATGGTGATGAATCCCAAACCATAAACTTCTTCTGCTATAGCTCCTGGGCTTGTGTACAGGTCCTACCGCTTGTTGGTGAGCATGATGTTGGTGGTTTCGCTCCATGTGCTCGAAGCGTTTTTAGACAGGGTGCCAAAACCACCTGCGGTACAACCTGGTAACCACATCAGAGACCTATACAGCACAACCATGGCAACCTAATTCGTTTTCTTCTGCTTCCTAGCACTTCCTCTACTCAGGTGCGTTCTGCCTTTGCGATCCTTTTTCTCCACTTACTCCGGTGCTGGGCCATCCCCTCACTCCCCACTTGGAACCACCTCTCTGTAGGCCAGCCTCTCAGCCTCCGCCCTGGTGCTTCTATCTTCATCACTTTCCTTCCGATGCCATTCTCCTACGACACATCCGATCACTCTGAGTCGACTTTCAAATGCCTGGGGCCGGGCTAATAGATTGAAAACTCATCTTCGAGTTTGAAAACTAATTTCTTTAGAACCCCTTTTTGTGTTCAGTTTGTTGTCGTCCCCCCGCACCTCCGATTAGCACGGTTGGCTATGTACGGTGCATAGGAAGTTCAACATACAGCTTAGGGATGGTGAAAGGTTCTTTTAGCAACGTGCCAAATGTTTAATACCAAGTACTACCAGCAGAGGGCGGCTTAGCCCTGGGTAAAACAATGTAATGTGGCTATATGTGTCGTCTAAATGCTCACTTCATCTCAATAAGCTGGACAGAAACAGTTGGGCATGTTTATTTTATATAGCGAGGAGAGGCAGTTGGGCATAAGCAGAGGAGAAGAGGAAGTTCTTAAGCTTGGACATGGACAGGGAGTCGACAGTGCGGATGGCTGGGGGGCAGAGGTCGCAACCGGGTGCCCGATACCCGTACCCTACCCGATACCCGGCTACCCGTACCCAGCCGGGTACGGGTACGGGTGGGTACCCATTTGCGACCCTGGTGCGGCCGGTACGGGTACGGGTAGGCCGTGAGTCGCTGGTGAGTAACCGTTTGTCACTCATTCCCCAACGTCTTGTCTCTTCTCACAATTCAAGTTCCTAGAATCAACCCACCTGCGCCTGCAACATGGCTTCATCCCAGAGGTCGCAATCGGGTACCCGTACCCGTTTGCGACCCTGGTGCGGCCGGGTACGGGTAAGGAATCAAAACCCGTTTGCGACCTCTGCTGGGGGGTGGGTTGGGATGGCAGTTTCAATAATCTCACTTGAGAGGTGAGATCTTTTTTCAATTTGGCTGTATGTAGCGCTGCACACGAAACATTTTAGGGGACAAGGCTGACTATTTCACTTTATCTTGCACAATTAATAAACAGAATATACATCAACATTTATTTGATTGAGATCAGTTCGTCAACCGAAAGGGCACACACGTACTTGGACTTTATATCACCAGGTCAGAGTTCAGTGAGACAAAAATTATCTCTGTCAAGAGGGAGAACTGGGGTCTTCTTCCATATGGCGTTTGGAAAAAGCAGCTGGTTACCAATTGTTTAATGTTGTAAACCATTCCACAGCATCTGGGGCGCTAAGAGTGGAGTTTGCTTGTTCCACCAGAATGCAGCGGTTTTGTTTTGGGTCATTAATGATGCACGCCTGATGGGTTTGCATCTCATCGCATTCACAGTTTGCTAAAGTCCTTGATCTTAAATTTATGGAGGCCTATGGTTAACAAACGAAGATTTCACGGTGTCTGTCATATTTCCACTGTAGCAAAATCACAGCTATGGTGAGACCAAAACAAAATGTGTCTTAATACATGTGGGGCAATTGTTTTTTTTCATTTAATTTTGGCTGTATATGTCACAGATATAACTTGCAAACATGCGGTGTTATGGTAAATCAACAGACCCCCCCCCCCACCCCCAAAAGCCACTCAAACACACCTATAACGTATAAGTGAATAAGTATTACATGTGGGCCGGTTACTGTCAAGATCAATGAATGTGTGGGGGTCATCACAGTTGATGCCACCATACCGCACCTCCCCATTGTCAGGTCCCCTCCTGCTAGATCCCATAGTTGTAACAAAGTTGATACAACCACTAAGATCTCTTCTTACAGTATTACACTCTCTGACTTTGATCATCAACATCGTTATAATTTATTTGTATTTGGAAATGGGCTTCATACATCCCACATGTCTCAGTGCTTTTGGTCTTTTGGTTGCCGTAGTAAGCCAGCATTATGAAGTGCAAAGTGTTTGGATTCAAGAAACCTTTTCAACCTGTAATAATTAGTATTATATAGTAGCAGTAACCCTTGCACTGGGGCAGAGCAGTGGTGTAGTGGTCTGCGCGCTGCGCTGAACAGCAATGCCTTTAATCTGTGATGATAGCCTCACTTAGTCTTGAGAGCGTTTTTTCAGGAGGGTCCTGCATTGCAATGTATGGCCGATTCCATGAATCAGTAGTACTGATTCCATTGATGGGTAGTTTTGCATCATTTGGCTTTGCTGTGCCGCGAACAATAAGTCCACCACCCACATTTAAGCCTTGCGGTTGCCCCCTCTGGCTGCGCAGGGCAACCACAGTTGGCGACACCACCGCAGGGCCTGGTATGCACGCGGGATTCTGCGGGAGATTTGTTTTTGATTGCAGACAAGATTTCATCGCCGTTGCATCGACGCTGTTTACAACATGCGCCATAGACCGATATGTAGTGTTGTAGAGGGTTTGTGATATGGGGTCCGGCAGGGGTTGTAGGGGGAGCTTTGTGATTCGTGAACTCAAGGCAACAGAGAGCCTACTGTGTACGGCTCGCTGTTATGTATTTGGGCTGTACCTGGCGTTGTTCGGCATAATGCCGTTTTTTCTCCAAGCCGATTTATGTAAATGAAATATTGACTTGTGAAAAGCTTAGATGGAATACGTCGCTAGAAGGGTTGATGGCCAGTGGTCGAGACTTCTGATAGGAGTGGCAGCCAAGTTAGGGAACGCTTGACCGAGGATTCGTCCACCACAGGAAAGCGGCAAAGAAATCGACTCGTGTGCACATGCAGCACGGATCGTGGGATCGTGGGATTGTGATATACGGCGGTGGATTGGGGGAAGGCCTTCATCCACCAGTGGATTAATCAGGGCTGACTCTTATGATAATGCCACTCTTCGGCTGCATGGGATTCACACACCACACACGTCACGTGCTTATTTTTCAACCTTGCGCCCACTCACCCGCCCCCTCGTTAAGTTAACTTTGTGGCTCCGCATCCACGCCGTAATTTCATTAGCGCGTAGTTTCTCGCAGAGCCGGCGATCGAACGCTCGCCCGTGGGAACCCGCTCGGACCCACGCCGTTCTCCGCGCAACATTTACTGCCGCGGCCTAATTGAAAACATACCTGTGTGTGCCTAACGTGCCCACTCCGGCTCCTGCGTTGCCCATTTGCGCAGCCCGTAGCTCGTTCACGGGCTGCTGCCCAGCGTCAACCTGCCCCGTCACATCCGAGCTTAATGAAAAAAATAAAAAGCCCATAAGTGTTATTAAGGGGAGCCGACTAACATTTGACCCTCGCTTGTAAGTGCGCTTGTAAACTGGCCGTAATAACGCGGCACAAAGCAGCGGCGGGGGGGGGGGTGCCCCGGGGGCCTGAATGCTAATGAGCGGGAGGCCCTGGGGCATGGCGGACATGTCCAGTGAGCCGTGCGGTGGCTCGTTGGCGCACTCAGTCACTCACCTGCTCGCTCACTCACTTGTTTACGCACTTACTCGCTCACTTTGTTTACGCGCTCACCGTTTATACGCGCTCACGTTGTCTCGCTCACATATTTACTCACTCGTTGCATGAGTTTGCACGCTCAGTCACGTGCTTGCGTGTTCACTCACTCTTCTCCTAACTCTTATGTTGACTCGCTTACTCCTATGAGTTACTCGCTCGCTTACACACTTGCGTGCTCACTCAGTCACTCGCCTTTTCGCTCGTTCAGTCGCTTGGCTCATATATTCAACCAACGCGCTTCTTAAGTCACTGTCTTAATGGCTCACTGACTCTCTCGATCGTTTTCTCACTTCTTCACTCGCTCAATCATTCAATCAGTTTTCTCACTTCTTCATTCACTTGCTCATTCATTCAATCAGTTTTCTCACTCATACTCGCCCAAACACACTCCATTGATTGCTCGCTTTCCCACTTGCTCATTAACTTTCTTACTCACTGACCCACTCACCCCCATAAATTAATTAACTTCCTCGCTCAGTCGCTCATCCACCCTCTCACTCGCTTATTCACTCACCCATCGTGTCACTCGCTGACTTATTTACTCACCCACCCACTTTGCTCACTCACTTCCCCCCTAAACCTCATTCTAGCCTCACCCCGCCGTGTCCTCTCTGCCCTCGGGGTGGCATGACCGCCAGCCTACCACTACCTGTGCCAAGGAAATAGTTTTGCCAGTTGTTTTTTTTTTGCATGCAGAAGAGATTGCCGCCGCCGCCGCCACCACCACCACCACGCCGGCAAGGGTTGGGTGCGCGACTTG